TATATATATATATATATATATTCCATGCACGACTTAACATAACATATTCTATCCTATACAGATAGTCCCCCTGTTTTCCGGTGACATAACTTTGTGTCATTGGAAAGTTAGCAGAAATATAATAATATATTTGGGCATAATTTTCAAGAATATATAATGTATATTATAAAAATAACTTTATTTAAATAATTATTTTTATATTACGTGCATGAAATATATATTTTACAACCTTTATTTTCTTTCATTCTGAACTGTGTAAATAAATTTTTGAATTTTTGTTGTTAATATTAAAAAATTAAAAAAAATAAATAAAAAGAAGATAAATGTTTATAATCTAAAGGGTAAAACAGGTATTTGGCAATTAAAAATTTGAAAAATCTAGTTGAGTGACCTTATGAATGCAATAGGCATAATTCAATGACTTTGTAGTTACAAATGAAAGAAAATTTGGGATAATTAAGTGACCATTCGAGTAATTGACTCTTTGGTTGGCTTCTTGTGTTTGGTCTATATCATTGGTATCAAAGCTGTGTGCTAGGAGTGGGAGCCCGGATCCAAGATGGGTGCCAGCCGTGCCGAATTAACAAGGTCGTTATTGTTATGCGCCAATTGTCCCTCATTGATTACAAAGAAAAATGCTAATGATTTTATAGCTAAATAGGTTCTCGCACTTAATAGACTAGTCTTGTTGGTGGATCGTTCTCCGTTTGTTTGGTCTATAACAAACTGAACTTTAACTTGGACACTTACTTGACATGTCAAGAATAACTAGTTGCACTCTATCTTCGGCACTTTCTATGGCATCCTCATTTTGTTCTTCCAGTGCCAAGTCCAAAATCCTGGATAATAAAGAACAAATTAAAAGACATTAAGATCAATAGGAAACAAAGAAAAACAGATTTGTTTGTAGTTTGAGGACATACTTAGCTCTAATGAAGTCGGCATTAGCAAAACAAAGCAAAGCAGACTTGACTCTGACAATGAGAATTCCAGGTATCTTCATTGCCATGGGATATTGGTTCACATCTCCGAACAAATCACTTCCCGGAAGCCTTCCTAATTTTTCTGTCCCCGGCTGGATTGAGTTTAGAATGACCTTTGCAAATGATATACCAACCTGAAATAATACATATAATTGAATATCCCCTAGCAAGTTAATAACATCGGAGATGTAAAAATTACAACTAGATCAGTAGATAATATTATAAGCAAGCAAAATAAAGCTGGAAAAGAAGTTACCGCGAGGAGCAGGCCAATTTCCACAGACACAAAAACGACACCAAAAAATGCAGCAGTGCAAGTAAGGAAGTCCATCTTATCAACTTTCCAAATGTATTTAGCTTCACTTAGGTTGATGAGTCCAGGTAAAGCAGCAAGTATAACGGAAGCAAGAATGGCTATTGGAGTGAAATACAATAGCCTTGTGAAAAATTCTAGTGATATTAGCACTGTTACAGCCATCACTATGTTGGACACTGCAGTTTCACAACCAGCACTGAAGTTGACTGCAGTTCTTGAGAATGAACCTGCATCCAATGAGTTTTCAAGCATATGATTCATGGAATCCCAAGCACCCGCGTAACTAGAAATCTCGTGTTCAAACTTTAAAAAGATTTTAAAAAATTCAATAAATAGGCACACCAAAATGCTCAAATCAAACGACATAATAGTATTTAGCTAAATCATAAATAATAATAGAACTAACAATTGTATAAATCAAAACTAATGGTATATATATAAGTTAAGAAAAATACTACTAGTAAAAGCGTTATACGTTGATTAGAAGAATAATCACACATAAAATCAATATACCCCAAAGATATATAATTGTAAGACAATCTGACTAATAATAATATGAATTATTAGTTGGAGTTTGAACAAAATAATTTTCTATGGTCAACAATCATACAATTCATACAATAAACTAATACGGAATGCCTAATGTGGAGGATAAATTAGAACTATTCTATGGTGGTAAGGTGTGACCATACGTGCAATACTGGAAAAAAGGTCAAAGATAAGTAGAGCAATGCTTCAATTTGGATTTGAGCTGCAGCAACCAGTTGTTGCATGGGTAATCTTTAACATAGAATCAATTTAACCTATAATTTTCCGGCGAAAGATATTCATCTAATCACTTTACAATAGTGTAACTCGGCCACTGATCCCAACTATATATATA